TATAACATTACACAACAGCCCTCAAGTGTTTCAAGGCTGTTAAATATTCCATATGCTTACGGGGCCCCTTATAAATTATTAAGCAAAACAATTCCATCCTTTTGCTGTACAGTCCTGTGAATTATAATCTGAAAGCCTTCAAATAAACCCAAATACGGTCCGTTGATCAGTCTGAACTCACAGACCCCTCTGGCTCATGCATGACAGCTTTTCTCAGCTGCTGATTCCCCCTATTGGACAAACGCTGCAACTGCAGGCTTCCAGTACCTGCGCAGTTATAGGCACTGCATAGAGAGCAGACTGTAGAGAGAGCTGAACGCTGCCGTTTATCAACGGGACGCTGAGGACGGGGACAACCTGGACTCAGATACTCTTTAAGAGGTACACACACTTCACTTGGGCTTAACTTGAGCAGGCTGAAACAGCAGGGACTGTTGGCTGCTTCTTAGAGTCAGGGACAAAGCCTGGGGATTTGTGTTTTTGTTTGATGGATGTGTGTGTCTGGACCCATGTATGTGTGCGTTGGCAACCTGCTCACGAGGGGAGGAGGCTGCGCTCATGAATGACAGCCGTGTGAGTGTGTGTCCGTTTAATGCTTTGTGAACGCTGAGGGTGGCATAGTTAGGTTTTACAGTGAAGTGATGCATCAGCCAAACAAACGTTTACTCATTAATAGAGACAAAACCACAGTGTCAGAGCTGTTGGGATGAATCGAAAATAATGGCTTGCTGGAAAAGAAACAGTGACGCATGATAAATAGCTGTGAGTGAAGTCAAATGGTGCTAGGACACTAGATTAATGCAGTTTAGATTAGATCCAGTGCACATCTGGGGACCGAGGAGCATCGGGACTGACTTTGGGATGTGTTCGCAAGATGCTGCCGGGCTCACAGTGGGAAACCTCAGCAAGTTTGTCCCCCAAAATAACGGGACAGGAAACTGTTTAACCTTGGCTCAATGTACTTCCCTCCGTGAAACTATCGGATTGAAAAGACTGCTTTACAGCCAGTTTCCTTCTGCCATAACAGACGCTTATTTACAGCTGCAGACTGGCCCGATTCACCCTCCCTCGTGCCTGAGTGTTAATGGCAGCATTGATTAAAGCATTTACAGTGTGCTGCTGGTTATCATGTGCATTGGATAACAGGGCTTCTCTTTGCTATACTGTTTGTTGCCTAGGCTGATAAAAATGTTAATGGTGGTTTTCAGATGAACCAATCTGTTGCTAAGAAAGTAAATGACTGTGGTAATGGTTCTCTCAGGGAGATTTCATCTGTATCCACTTCTGCCCTCATTACCAAGAGGAGGAGAGATTCCTTTAGCCTTATTTTAATGAGAATCTCCTTTTCCTCTACCTGTCAGCTTTTTATTTTTCGTTTTCTGTTTATTTATTTATTTATTTATTAAGCCCAAGTTAAAGCTGACGTGTGTAATTTTTTTTGGGTTAAACGCCTTCTCTTATCTCAGCTTAATATGCAGAGAGAACTGTAGGTAACCCAATTTTCTCTGAAAAGTAAAATCACTGTGGCTCTGTGCTGTTTTCAAAACATCCATTTGTTTATTCAGCGTCCTAACCAGCACTGCACAGCAATGTTAGCTTAGCCAATAGGATTTGGGGAGTGGCTGTTGGTCTGTCCTAAACATGTGGCACAGAAATAAAAAAGCTTTTAAGCAACATTGAATTTGTATAAGTGTGGCAGACTAGGTTAGGTCCCAGGTTGTGAGGACCACAATTTAAGTGAATTTTCGAGAGGTTCACATGCTTATGATTGACTACGACTGATCATGCATTAGCTATCATATGATTTACAAATCATATGAATCCAAACACACATAAATATCCAGATTTTTTTTTTACCTTAGTCATCTTCGCCTCGAAGAATCCCCCTATCCAGCCCTACCCCCCCCCCCCCCTCTTTCCTAAAAAAACCTTGAAAGGGCGGCACGGTGGCTCAGTAGTTAGCACTGTCGCCTCACAGCAAGAAGGTCACTGGTTCGAGTTCAGGCTGGGCCAGGTGATATTTCTGTTCGGAGTTTGCATGTTCTCCCTGTGCTTGTGTGAGTTTCCCCTACTCCAGTTTTCTCCCACAGTCCGGAGACATGCAGTATAAATGAATGGAACAAACCAAATTGACACAGTATATAAGTGTTTCAGTAGTGGGCATTCACTGCATAGCCATATACTGGTATAGTTAGTGGTTCATTTCGCTGTGGCAACCCCAAATAATCAGGGAATAGGCCGAATTTGAATTTGGGGGAGCTTTTAAATCCTACCTGAGCCCCAGGCTCAAGGATCTTCTGAGCTCAGGGCTCTTTTCAAGGACAGCATGCCAAACACGCTTTATTATCGATTATCAGCTAATAGTGAACTCTTTAAAGTCAGAAAGGTGCTATGCTTAGTGTGAAATAGAACTCCGCATTATAGCACTACTTCAACAGGTACACAAAACATTTTGTCTGCTTCAGAAGAAACATTTGCACAGTACAGTACAAAAATAGGAAAGTATTTCAGTTTTTTTTTTTTTTTTTTTGTTGGTGTACAAATAACAGCACAGTCAAAACCATTCCTGTTCATACAAATACACAAAAACATTTTTTTTTCTTTTGCAAGATGATGTGCATGACACATTTTACCAAACCTCAGTGCTGGGCTTTTTATGGAAGTAACACTATCTTTGTGAGAACTACCCTGAAAAGCATCTTTCTCCATTGATGGCCATTTAAAAGTAGCTTTGTAGTCAGTTGTAGAAAACTGTAGACTCATAGACATCTTTCCTTTTTGTGCCCTCTATCTCATGGTGCCATCAGCACTGTTTTTTTTTTTTTTTTTTTTAGGCTTAAGTGATTGGCTAATGTAATTCATTTGAAAATATAAGCATTAAACCAGAGTTTACAAACATACAGCATAAAATACCTGACAGTGCTATTGCCAGCTACCTTCCGGACAAGTAAAAGCAAGATATTTTAAAGTGTTACTAATTTCACAATTCCAGACATGAAATAGGCTATTTATCTGTAGTTTCTGTAGTTTTTTGCTATCTGTCTATCTCTCTCTTTCTCTCTGTCACCTCACTCTCTTATCTTGCTTTCTCTTCCCATGCCTCTCTCTGCTTTCTTTGTTGATCTCTGGGTGAAAAAGGCAATACGAGGAAGACAGTGATTTTTTCTTTCCTTCCTTTCAAAGGTCCAGATGGACATTTTCTGCCCGTTGAGCACATGAACAACTGTGGCACTGCGGCACCCCTAATTCTCTCAACTCTCTGTCAGACAGGGAAAAGGGGAATGGGGTTGTGCTGCGAAGAATCACTCTCTTGTACTCCACTTCATTTCTGACCTTTTGCTAAGGTAAAACAAAATTCTGCTTCCTCCTGCATCCCGAGCCACAGGATGAACCAAAACATCAATATCTAAGCTAAACCATAACAGAATTCACCTGGCTTTGCTGATGCTGCAGAAATGTGTAATTTTTTTCACTTTTTTGTTGTTGCTGTTTTCTCTGCCGTGACTGGAGGTGTTGGCATGTGTGGTAGTGTAGCTGTTTGTTTACTCAACTCTCTGAGGTGACTGTGGTTTGGAGTGGTGAGCGGCAGCCTTTATTGGATCTCTTTTGCATTGTGTTATGTTTAAGTGGGAGGATGACTAAAGGGCTCTTCATCACCCTGTTCTCGTTAACGAGTTCTCATCATATGCTGAAACCACAACAGACAAAACCTTTGAACTGTGGCATCTTTGAGTGGAATGCTCCCTCTTGCCTGGCAAAGGCAGAAATGTGTTTAATTGGTCACTGTGTCTGAGTGCGGCTCAACTTTTTACGTTTTATGAGACATTATAATATGGTCTAGAATGAAACTCGGCATGAATGAAAATTCTTTTGAAATTTTACTGGGTTTGTGGGAGTAAATTAACTTTACCACTTTAAATACATTTCTGTACATCATTCAAAACTTTAACATGAAGCAGGGTGCAGATTATGGGGGTTTGGGGGTGGTCTGACCACCCTAATTAAGGCTCAGAATGTATAAATGAAGCCAGAACATATAGTAGAGAAATAGCAGGATGCTTGACCATTTTGATCAAGTCAGATACATGTTTTTCTTTGGTTGAGCTGAAAAAGTTGAGCCCCCCTGACAGTCTTTGTATAATTAACATACTAATATGAAATGTTACAGACAAGCCCCATACAGGCAACCCTATTAGTTGAAGGATGTGAGCTCTGAGAGTGTCCTTTTCCACTGGGGTGCTCTTACTTAGGTGGGAAATGGAAAACGGCTTGCCTCTTGTGTAATGAGATCTAATCCTAAGATCACAATGAAAGAGCAGAGCTCTAAGATTTGCGACATGAGTTTTTAAGGGGCCCTAGAACAGCCCCCTGAGGAACACCATATCCAAGGAATCTTTTAAACATATTATTGAGACACTAGGGGGTTGCATTGGTTCGAACAGGCTTAGTATATTAAGCAATAAATAAAGACTTCCTATTTAGTGTTCCCTTGTGCTGCTTTTAGTTTTTTTGCTGTTTCAGTTCTGGTGTAGTTCTGATATAAAAAGGAACCCCAAATGTACACCAAGGACCTAATTTAAAAGATACCTCCGATTTCAAAGTTCAAAGTGCGATGACAACAGCTTTTAGAGAAGAATTAGCTTTTGGAAAAGTTAAATTGTCGTAAGTCTATACTATCCATGTAATCCACATCTGATTAAATGGATCAGCAGTGTCACAATGTCATGCAAGGCCTGGAATTCATCCTGAAGAAAATCCAGATAATTTATTACAACTGCTGAGGTCTCATTGATAGTTTTGATTAAATTAAGTTCAGCTTGTCTATACTGAAGCTGGCTGCTTTTCTCTTTCTCTAATTTGCTTACAGGTCAGTTCTGAGTAAATTGTCTGTGAAATAGATACGTTTTGCCTGGTTAGGTCTTCTTCAGTAATCTGCATTGTCTCTCTAGACACTGTTTTCCTTTTTGTTCATCCATCTTCTTTTTTTATGCTTCCCATAGATCTACACTGATTGGGCGAACCATTATTTGGCTAAGTCCGGTTGTCCAAGGCTTATTAAGGACCTGACTCAGGACATACCCGATGGAGTTCTGCTGGCAGAAATCATCCAGATAATAGGTGAGAGCTCATACACAGTGCAGGCTAATAAATCTTCACAGTTCATTTGAGTGATAAATTTATTTGTGTAAAACATAACTACTTAGAGCGATTCAGCTTCATATTATTCTGGTCACGTTGAACTAGATTAGAAGTGAAGAAAATCTACAAAATGCGAATTGTACACTCTGTTTCTACACTATTAAAGCATGTGTGTCCCATGTGTTCACTTTAGTGAGCCCAGCGTGGTTTGCGTTGTGTGCATGTGTGTCAGTCTGTCTTTTTTTATTTTTCCTTCATTCTTTCTCCCCCATCCCGTTTTCCCCTCCTCTGGGCTGTCCTGAAACTTTATTATGAACCTCCAGCATACAATGGCAGATCTTATGTCACAAACTCACAACCGACAGCTGATGAATTAACAGCCGTTCATTTTCTCCTCTTTTTCTCACACACTGCAAACATACACATGCTCATTCAGTCACAAACTCTCACAAGCTGCACAAGCAGAATTTCTTGCCTCATGACTGTGGATGGAAAGCCACAGCCAAAGTCAAGTTTTTTTTTTTTTTTTTTGTATCAGTTTGCTGCAGACCTTTAACCAAGCAATATCGTTTTTGCAGCTAATGAGAAGATAGAAGATATTAACAGCTGTCCAAAGAGTCACTCTCAAATGGTAAGTGTCTTTTTTTATATTCATTGTATTTGATTTAGTTATTTAGTAATTGTGCACTGTAATTACATGATGCTTGTTATATTTTTCTGATGTATTAGTTTTAGACTTAATCTGCTATTCCTGGATGATTGATTGATTGATTGATTGATTGATTGATTGATTGATTAATTGATTGATTGATTGATTGATTGATTAATTAAAAAAACAATCCCTTTTTATCAAAGCATCTGCATTTTTCTCACATTTTTAAATTGTTGATCAAAAGGTTGAACTATTTGAAATTATTGTTTTGCTAATAGAATTGGTGCTTTTATTGGAAAACAAAAAAATAACAAAAAGATTGACGGTTTTGAAACAAGTGCCCAGTATTGCATTAACACCTACCGTACAATTTTAAGAAGTGTCATGGGATTTAAATCATTATATTCTATAAAAGATTGATTGATTATTTATTTATTTAATACATTTTATGTATCTCTTCATATTTCTTATATATACATTTGTGATATTGTTGTGATGACTTTACTCTTAAAATAAGCTAAAGTGTCCATATATTTTGTCACATATTTATATTGCTTTGTGAGAACAGTTTTATAATTTTTCAATCGCAATGTATCTAAGGTAAATAAATCACATTAGGTTGCACCTGTCATAAAATCACAAAGACTCTAATAAGATTATTATTAATAAAATTATAATTATTATTTTATACCTTTTGGTGTGGCAAACGATGATGTTTTTATTGATGTTTTTGGTCGGTTTAGGTTGAATCCTCTTTCTCCTCTGTTTCTGCTGAAGCACATTGCAGTGATTAAACTCTTGCTAAGCTGTACTACAGTAAAGGCTTTAGTGACCCCACAGGTCTTTTCTGCAATAGAATGGACCGACCGGGTACTGGGCTATAACTTTCTGCATGTCAATGAGTACAGCAGAGAATATTGGGATAGTTGCTGTGGGCTTCTCCTAACAACTCCCATGTAGGTATGCTTGTCAGACTGGAAGAGCACAAAGACTGCAGTAAAAGCTTTAGTTTTTTAAGTTCAAGGCTAACTGTGAGATGGTGTTTTGGGGGAGGCGTAGGAGGTTTCATTGTTTCATTGAATGCCCATTGATCTTGCACCTGCTGCCAGCATGTGTGTGCACACACGTATGTAAAGGTTTTACAGTGAGGAAGTGTGTCTGTTTATAAGAAACTGTTTACGGGAAGTTGGGGTTGTGGAGGAATCTGACATACACACACTGTGTAGCAGCCAAGCTTCATGCTCGTAACCCATCAGCACTTTTTTGCAGATTTATTTCTGATTGCGGTTATTGTTAGAATTTGATTGATTGTATCGGGTCGTGCAAAAACAGCATGCCTTGTTAATACAGTAAGTGGGATGCTGATGTAAATGGAAAATTAAAAAATGTGCCCATCAGTAATAGTCAGTATTGTGACTCTTCAGAAGTCTTCCATAGCAAAATCTTCAGGCGTTGTCCACATTAATACATTTTGGCCATCAATCCACACTCATAAAGAATTTTTAGGCTTTGGTTTTGAAAACGCTCTTCAAATTAGATAACTTTTAAGATGATGCATTTGAATTGTGAAAACAGAGGCTTGCAAAATAGATGACGGTTTTCTTGTCATGTGACTAATTTAGCTATAGTGGATGAAATTTTAGAGCTGTTGTTTGGAATGCTCTTTGTTTGGACAGCATTATTAAAGATTAATGTCATTTTGTACATGTTCCAGATTGCTTTCCTTCAAAGGACATGGTATGTTTACTTAAAACTGTTGTTTTGGCATGTTTCCCAGACTAAAGTCTCACTTGCTTTTGCAACTTTACACTCCTGTGTTACTTACAGCAGCGACTCCACTTCACTGTCAGTCTGTTAAAAAAACTTGGTGCTTTTCCTCGACCAAATTGATGTTTCAGTAAAAGCTGGAAAGTAATTAAGGAGTTGTAATGTATTGCAACACCAATTGGAAATGACACAGCTCAAGGTGTCTTAAATCTTAACACATCCAAACAGTTTCAGTCATTTCAGTGTAGATGACCAATTTTTGGGAAGTGATTGAAAATGGTAGTGTGGATGCGGAGAATTTTTATATAAATTTATCTTTTTCAAAATGATCCAGATTGGTGTAGATTGGCGTATCCTCAGACTGACATTGGGTAAGGACTGGTTTGGGACTAGTCTTCGGAACCAGCAAGCATCAAATAAAGCTTAGTCTAAAAAAGCAAGATTGTTGACCAGCATTTCTTGTTGGTTAATCATCAAAAATGTATGCTGGTGTAAGCTGGAAGTTTCTGGAGAGTGTTGTATAGAAAAGGGTCATTTATGTGTGTTAAACTGGCTTCAGTCTTGGTAAATGTTCAGGAAGTCAGGAAGCTTATGTATTGTAACCTTTTTCCTGTATTTGTTACTGTGTGGCACTTAATATAAAATAGTAAATCATGTCCAGGCTCATAGCGCTAGGAGCTGGCAACCTGCCATTGAGGAATAATCAATTAAAGCTATCATTCAGAAAGGAAATTTCTAATCGATTAGGATCAGATACAGTAAATGTTTTTTCAGTTGTGAACCAATTAAACTTTACAGCTCTGGCATTAGCAAAACGCTTGCTTACGTCCATTAAAAGCACCTGTTAAAAGTGACTCAGCTTCAGTTAAATGAGTGTACTGTTGGGTGCTTTCCCAGGCAATGAAGATGGTTGCTAAATTACATGCGTAATAAACTCTCTCCCATTGATCTGATTGGTCTCTTGGGGCTTAATTAAAGTGGCATGAAGAGAGGCAGATAAATCGCCGCCTACAGGCTGTCTGTTCATTCACTGACCCGTATGGAAACATTTGTTTTTTGAACCGCAACTGTTCCAGAAGCTAAAAAGCCACTTTTCCCATAAGAAACTGCAATGATACCAAGGCTGGTATTCTGATTTGTCTGGAATTTTGGACATGTTGGTCCACCAGATGAGCCCTCTGTGCCATTTGTAGCCTACTCAGTGCGACACCACTATTTCTGGAGGTTATGCGTCAGAATGGGAGTTCCCCAGGACACAAATGTATTCCATAAGCTTGCTTTTATTAGCAGCAATTGCAACATTAGAAGTGATCCCCAAGGCGTGTACACAAATTATTCGGCATATACAACTCTGAATGATCACCAGAAGCGACATTAGAAAATTGGCCCATTTATTATGCACTTTGTAATCTCATTTAGCATTAATATTAAGATGTCACAGAGGAGTCTCTTGGCCGTTGTTTTGGCTGCTTCATCAAATCCCTGTTTGCACCTCTTTCCACTCTCATCAGCCATTATGAGGACAAATTCAGTCTGACAGTGTTGTCTTGTCCCTAAAACTGGAAGGCACAGGAACCGAGCATCCGGAGAGCGCCTTTGAACAAAACTAGACACCCTCTAGCTCGGAAGAAAACACAAAAAAAATCCAAACAGTGCCATAAAAAACCATTCAGCTGCTTCAGAATACTAATCTGTATAATTAAAACATTCATTAATAAACCATATTACACTTCAGATGTATTGCCACACTACTGTACAGCAATTCCCATAATGTTCATCTCATAATAAACTCAAGTATTGTAACTGTTGTAAGCAGGGATCCCACTGGTCATGGAACTTCAGGAATATCATGGAATTTAAAAAGGTCTATTCCAGTCATTGTAAGTTAGGGAAATCAATACATTTAAAGTCCAAGTCATGGAATATCAGAGATTTTTGTTTTTCATTTTTAAATTATTTTGTCTATTTTTATGGTTAGAGTTGTTTGTCACTACAATTTTATAAATTTCCAGTCGTCAACCAGCAACCAAATATAGTCACCTACTGTAGCTGTGTCCGTTAAAATACATCTGTGGATGTTTTTGTTCCGCTCAGTGCTTAATAAGTCCCTCCTGAATTTTGTGGGAAAATTGTTAAATTATTGTGGCCTAAAATGATACTGAAACTATTTGTGGCATCTTATTTCGTGTTGTTTTACTGTGGCTGAAAATAGATTGCAATAATGTCACTGATGCGGGTCACAAACCTAAGGAGAAGTGCAGCACCTTGCCATGTCTCTGACATCCTGAGGTATCAGACACCATCTACACACATTCTATATGCAAAAAAATATGGTATTTGATATGAAACAGAGAAGAGTGTCTTGGTAAATTTTAATGGGAAATCTGTGGGCAAGCTCCACAGAATTTTGTGTTATTTGCATGCTTTTACATTTAATTAAACAATCGCACAATCCCAAAATTCTAGAAGGACATTTCAACAGATGCTTTTATTTTTAAACATTTATTCTGAGTTATGGAAATTCAGCTTTTTAGTCAGTGACAGCCATTTGGCTTAGGGTGATAACCCTGTGTAAATCTGTATATATGCATACGAGCTGCTGAGAGCGTGTCCTACAGGTTTGCATTTGTGGTCATCTTGAGAGGCTTCCTCTCCCGGTTGTATGGGAGGACCAGCTGAGTTAAGTGTGTTAGGGCTTGTAAAGTGTCTGCATCATCTGTGCTCCATCTGTTTGCAATGTAGAGTCTGACAGCTGAGAGATGTGCTCCTCAATGCGTCCACTGAGATCATGATGTCTCTGATGGCACACCACATTTAACTTCATCTGAATAATACAGCATCTTACAGTAGAGAGCTTAGGATGATCAGCTGGTTTAGCTAGGTTGGTCTACAAGATTTAACGGATTAAAGATTAATTTATCAGATTTTTTTATGGTTATGTTTCATGGTTTTTCCATGGTGTGTTGATGGAGTTAATCTTATCAATCAGTTCATTAAAAGATGGACTTTTGGTATTTTGTTCTTTTGATTAGCTAATACATCAAGTGGATGATTTGACTGAATTTGGTTAGTTAACAGATTTGTTTATTAAATGGGTGTATTTTATATCTTAAATGAGTTGGTTTATTTATTAGGTGAAGTACATACTATCAAAACAGTTGTTAATTAGGTAATGTGTATTAGTTTAATGAGATGTCTAAAATTTTCATCTT